CTCAAAATTAGCGCTAGAACTCAAAAGTAGCGGCAGAGGCGGATATTAACGCCTTGCCTGTCAATCAATACTGTTGGCAAAATGCCAGGGGCCATACAGACTCGGCTGTGGCTCTCAGCCGTAACAAAAACTTTTGAAACTCAAATACCAGTGTAAGGATTGATTTTAAAAGAAATAAAGCACTTTGCTAGTATGCACAATGCCCTGGGTCTCATCCCTAGCACCAAAAAGAAAAAAAAAAACATAAAGAGGGTATTATGACATTATTTATAGTGAGAGATGGTAAGATACTGGTTTTAAATGGTTTAGTTATTAGAATTAAGATGAATTTCAGGCCCCAGAATTTATGGTGGTAAAAATTATTGTTCCTACTATTATTTCTACTATTTTATGTAAACAGAAAAAAGGAATTCATCGTTGTACAAAATGCAGGCTACAATTTTTGACCTGCAAGGAGAAAACAGATCATAAGACCCAGCATCGTACATTTATAAAGCCTAAAGAACTGGAAGGATTGCCTCCTGGAACAAAAGTGAGTATCAAATATGTTGTATTTTAACATTTTGTATAAGAGAAATAAACTCCTGCCTAGTTTCATCTGTTATCTATAATATACAAAATAACATCTGATTATAATTAAGACCTTAATTTTAGGTTTTATTGTTCTTATCTTGGAAAGGAAAACTTCAAAATTGTATTTTTGAGTTGATTGACATGTGCTTTGTTGAAGCAATATTACTTTGTAGAGAGTGCAACTAGATTAACTGTAGGCTGAGACAGCTGTTGTTTCAGTATTCTGTAGGCTGTTTTTGAGCTATTCCAGTTATTAGTATATGTCTGTTTCAGGGGCTAGACTACAAAATGTTTTAGTTCAGGAATCTTGTTTAATATCTTTGTGTCCCAAGCATCTGTCCTAATGCCTTGAATGCCATAGGTTTGTTGAAACAAGTTCTGTTCCTGGATAGCATTGCTGTTTTTAGTAAGAAGCACACATCTAACTACAAACTTTCCTTTTCCTGTTTGCCTTATATACATGTTTTCTCTGACTTCTTTATATGAAGTTATTACTTGAATATTTGATCCAAAGGAGGGATGGATAATCCAAACTGAAATAATCCCCAGACATTGATATTTAACTTTGAGTACATACTTTTGAATGTGAATATTTTAGTTAATTCAAATAGAAGATATAATGTGAAGCAATGATCTGAGATTTTGAAAAACTATCTGATGTCCTTCTCTGCAGTCATTCATTCCATGCAGAATACTAATGTAAGAAGTACACACTTCTCATATCTTCCCTTGCAAGTAACAAAGTGCCCCAATATTAATATTAATATCTTAGAGCATTTGGAATAAGCTTAATTCCAAATTTAAAAAGTTTATCAGTGTGCCTTTTCATACATTTTTTTTATTTAATCTATGCAGTGCTCTAATGAGATAGGCAAGGTACATATTCTCCCCATATTACAGATAAGAAGGCTTAGATGGGATAAATTCCTTACCCACAATCACATGGCTAGAAACAAGTAGTATGGAAATTTAATTTCAGGTCCTTTGACTCCTTGTCCTAGGCTTTTATATGATATCAAAGTCACGTGTATTTCACAGAACATCACATAGACTATTCCTCAAGTACATAGAGGGAATTATAGTCACATGATTAAAGAGAGTGTTAATAAGTGACTGTTTTCCATCGTTAACTATTGGGTATAATTGAATATTTTCTTTTTCCAAATGTTAGGTGATAACTTTTATATTAGCTACCATTAAGGAACTTCTGAGCATTATTAAAAAATCTCCATGCTGTACAATAAATTGATTTAACCTCCATTGTGATATCTGGAAGCAAAAATCATACCCAATGAGTCCCCAGAAAGAAAGAGAAGGTCACATTTACTGACGATCTGATAATGCAGGCCTTTACAGAGTGATTTTAGGCTGTGGGATTTATTTGTGTACATATGTAGGTAGGAGGTAGTTAGGTAGTTCGAAGGTGCTAGGGTTTGAACTTGGGGCCTTCTACATGCTAAGTGCTCTACCACTGAGCTATATCCTCAGCTTTTAATTTTGATCTCTATTTGTGAAAACTTTTTACTTATACTGAAGTATAAAAATAGCTAGGGAACATGCTTTTTTAATATTGCTAAAATTGCACTAACACTCCTAATTATCCATTAATATCTATGTTAACATATAACTGCTACCAATAGAAAAAATATATATAATATCAGGAAATTAATACCAAGCTAAATTTCATTTAATTGGTATGACCATCTAGAATAAATGAGAGAATTTATTGTTGTTTATATTTACTATTTTCAAAATAATTATATTTAACTTTTTGTATTACAGTGATTTTTTTGTAACAACTTTGTTGAAAATGCAATTCATATACCATGTAATTCATCTAGTTAAATTGTGCAATCCAATGATTTTATTTTAGAACATTCTCAGAGTTTTTAAAACATCACCAACAGTCAATTTTAGAACATTTTTATCACCCCCAAAAGAATCCCCATGCCAATTAGCGGTCACTCTGTTTCTCCACCACCATCCCATGCAAACTTACATCTACCTTCAGTCCCTGTGGATTTTCCTATTATAAATAAAATCACACAATATGTAATCTTTGGGGACTGATTTCTTTAGGCTGCCATAATGTTTCCTAGGTTCATCCATATTATAGCATGTTTCAATATCTCATTCCTTTTTATGACTAAATAATATTTCATGTTATGGATAGTCCACCTTTTATTTATCCATTCATCATTTGGTGGGCATTGAGTTGTTTCTCCTTTTGGCTATTATGAATAATGCTGCTACAAAAACTTATGTATAAGTTTTTGTATCATTGAAGAAATGCCCATTTATCTATTTTTTTGTCTGCTGTTTTTGCTTATGCTTTGGGTGACATATTTCAGAAACCATTGCCTAACTTATAGCCATGAGGACTTACTATCATATTTTCTTATAAAAGTTTTACCTTTTGAGGTCATAAAATTTGGTCTTTGGTACATTTGGAGTTAAATTTTGTATTTACTATGAAGTATGATTTGTGTATAGATATTAGTTTTTAACAGCACCATCTGTTGGTAAGAGTATTCTTTCCCCATGGAATTGTTTTGGCAACTTGTCTAAAATACATTGATAATAAATGTGAGAACTTACAGATGATATTTTTAACACTACTGTGAAATTAATTTTCTAGGAAAAAAAAAATATATATATATATATGTTGTTGTTGTTTTAGGTAACTATTCGAGCTTCATTTGGACCTCTTCAGCCAAGACCATCAAGTACACCATCCAATTGTGCTCCAAGTACTTCTTCTCTTCAGGTCTTACCTCCAAAGTCTAAAAGCACAACTGCTAAAAATCTCACAAAATCTAATGCAAGTAAATCTAAGACAAGTAAGCCTAATGCAGCTGCCTCTGCTGCAAGTAAACCCAACACAAGTAAACAGAGTGGAGGTGGAGTTACAACTAAAAGCAAAGCCAAACACTCTTACAAGCAGAAAAGACAACGCAACCGAAAAAATAAAATCAGCATAGCTTTGAAAAACTTAAGGTACTTTTTATCCTGATTAGTCCTGTTAAAAATACTAATTTAATTTTAAATATTAAAAGTTCATTTTAATATAATTTACTATATCACAGAACCCTCTTGCACATTTACATGATAATCACTTATCTGGCATAAAGGCAAGTGAATGTAAAAAGTATACCTTTTTATTACCATTTACATGATAAAAGATAGACTTTTTACATTTGCTGATTAAAATTCAAATTACTGTGTTTATTCCATATTTTTAATCCTTTACATCAAGCTTATATTTTGTGCTTTTATCTTGTGATAGTTGAATCAGCTAATTTGATCCATTTCATTCCATGGAAATATTAACCGGTGTTTGACTTTTTTTTTTTTTGAGAGAGAGAGAGAGAGAGAATTTTAATATTTATGTTTTTTTAGTTTTTGGCAGACACAACATCTTTATTTGTATGTGGTGCTGAGGATCGAACCCAGGCCACATGCATGCCAGGCGAGCACGCTACCGCTTGAGCCACATCCCCAGCCCGGTATTTGACTTTAAAAAAAAAATTGTTAGTTATTGATGGACCTTTAGTTATTTGTTTGTTTGTTTGTTTATATGTGGTGCTGAGAATCAAACCCAGTGCCTCACCCATGCTAGGCAAGCTCTCTACCACTAAGCCACAATCCCAGCCCCTGGTGTTTGACTTTTTGCACTTGTTCTAACTTATTGTTTCAAAGTATATTTTCAAACTTTAAGTTTCTATTTAAGGATATTAATTTAAACATCTTGTCTTTAATTAATGAATTCTTTATATACAAATATATTTTAGTTGTTGATGGATCTTTTTTTAATGGGGTTCTGAGAATTGAACCTAGTGCCTTAATCATGGTAAGCAAGCACACTCTACCACTGAGCTACAACCCCAGCCCCTCAATTAATGAATTCTTTTTTAAGACTTTTTATTTGTTCTAATTAGTTATACATGACAGTAGAAAACATTTTGACACATCATACATAAATGGAATATAACTTCATTTTTCAATTAATGAATTCTTAATAAGACATTGCATTGTTGTTTTTGTTTTATAATATGTTTTTATCATTTTTTTTCCTTTGCCTTCATAAGGTGTCGTCGGGGAATTTACAAGTGCATTGAATGTCATTCCAAAATAAAGGACTTTGCAAGCCACTTTTCTATATATATCCACTGTAATTTTTGCAAATACAACACTAACTGTAACAAAGCCTTTATAAATCATATGATGAGGTAAGTTAAATATGTAAATTGTTGATCAAAATTGTCATTCAGGGATGGGGGTTTAGTTCAGCAGTAGAACCCTTGCCTAGCATGTTGCCAGGCCCTGAGTTCATCCCAAGCACCTAAATAATAATAATAATTAAAATATCCATTCAAGAAATTTATTTTTTAAAAACAAAGTTCACATATTAGAAGCAAGTTTGTCTTATCAAGGAGCTAAAAGTCTAACATAAGGGAACTTCAAGGATGTTCCTTGTACTGTTTCAGTATAGTAACTGATCAAAATACTAGGAAAGAAATTGTAAGAACAGACTAATGAAAGTAGAATGGCTTTATTAGGGAAATGTGTTTTGCTATGGGAATTTTTTTCTTCTCAGTAAAAAGTGGTTATTTTCAAATACAAAATTTTGATTTAATTTAGTTAAACTTGGTACTGGGTATTGAACCCTAGGCAACTTTACTATTTAGCTTCATCCTTAGCCCTTTTTACTTTTGAGTCAGGGTCTCACTAAGTTACTTAGGGTCTCGTTGACTTATTCAGGCTGGCCTCAAATCAGGAATTCTCCTGCCTCAGCCTCTTTAGTCACTGGGATTATAGGTGTGAGCCACTACACCCAGCTTAAATATAAAATTTTAAATGTCTTCAATATATTTATCAAATAAACACATGTAACTACATGAATTACCCTCTTCAAATGATCACTTTGAGAGGCTCCAGGTTTTTCAGTAATGCTAAGAATATTATTTACTTTTTCTTTCGGCCTGCTACTCTACCTGCCTCACTCTCTCTCCCTCTCTTTTTCTCTCTTCTTTTCCCTCTTCCACTCTTCCCTTATCCATTTATCCATTCCTTTCTCTAGCCATCCATCTATGTTTAAATTCATTCAATGAAATATGAAATAAGAAGCTATAAGAATACTCCATTCATACTATTGCTATTAGAATTCTGTCTTAAACATTTATTTTTTAATTTTAGATGGACACAATACCTTTATTTTATTTTTATTTGGTGCTGAGGATCGAATCCAGTGCCTCATGCATGCTAGGCGAGCGCTCTATCTTTAAATCACAACCCCTGCCCTGGAATTCTTTTTCATATATTGATTCAGCTGCCATAATTTGTGTACCTACTGTGTACTCCATACTAGAAGAAAGACTTCAGAGTTCATTTTACTTTCATTTGGACTTATTTTGTAGGGACTTATTCCTTCAGGATGGACTTTTTTAAATAGCCAAAAAAATTCAGATATAAATATTGAGGTAGTTCTATTTCAGTTAGTAAAAAGATATAACCAATAAAAGTAGTTTTATCGAATATTATAACAAGATCTCTTTGTTGCTTTCTGGTCCTAGTAGGCTACCCCAGGTATGAAGGGTTTTCCCTCACTTTTTGATGACTTCAGCACTTCCCACCCCACCTCCCATAACGTTCAGCCTGACCTCAGGATACTTTGACTTCTTGGTGCTAGCATTCCATGTCCATTTCTAACTTCTTTCACGTCCACTTCCCTTTCTTACTACAGTCTCATTTTATCTTATTGTACACAATATTGATTTCAAATTCTCATTACATTACTTTCAGGGTCTTGATCACTGTTTCTATTCCAGCAATATCAATCCAATTTTTTAGTCAACCTCACCAAGCCTCAAGGGTCATCTGTTTTGAATGGTGCTTTGTTTTTTGTCCTAGAATCCTTTTACATCTTCAGTCATGCTTAGTCTTGCTGTTCTTGAATCTTTTATCCTTTTTGAAGTATCTGTGCTTGCTTCTAGTCTATCGAACCACTTGTTTCAGCTGTGAATTGATGATCTTTAATTTGGTCTTTTAAAAATATCTGTTTTATCAGCATCAGTTGTCTAAATACTTTTCATGACCTTAAGAATTTTATTCTATTTTCTCAGTTATTAATCTTGCCTACAGATTACTCAGAGGTCATTGCTTTTGATTTTCCCAAGATTAACTTTTTCCTACCTCAAATTTTTTCCTTCATCCATAGTTTAATCTCAGAAAATAGACATGATCCACTTTTATAATCATCTATATTTCCTCCACAACTTTATTCAGCTGTTTTGGGCATTCATTTAATTTCTTTCTACACATATCTTCTGCCTATAAGAGTTCTTGGATTTTGGGGTTTGTTTGTTTGCTTTGTAGGATGAAGGTGATTTGTTTTTATTTTGTGTATTTGCTTATCTTTCTTTTACCATCAGCATTTACAAAGAATATTTTTTACTAGCTTATTTGTCATTTTTTACTCTTTGTAATTTGAGTATTATCCCTACCTATAACTAAAGTCACTCCTTTAAAAGGTAGTTTAAACTTTTAAACTAGGTGGCCAGGTGTGGTGGCACATGCCTAAAATCTCAGTGGTAGGGGAGGCTGAGGCAGGAGGAGTGTGAGTTCAAAGCCAACCTCAAAACTTACCAAGGCCCTAAGCAACTCAGTGAGACCTTATCTCTAAATAAAATATTAAAAAGGGCTGGAGATGTGGCTCAGTAGTTAAATGCCCCTGGATTTAATCTCCAGTATAAAAAATTATCAGTCATGTCCCAATACTAAATATGCTCACTAGTTTTCTTTCTTACCCCTCTGTGACTTCTTTAGAGTATTTGATAATTTTGACTAATCACTTTGATGTTGGGACCATGGATGAAACCCAGGGCCTTGAACACGCTAGTCAAGTGCTGTACCACTGAGTTACACCCTTTGTCCCTAATCACTCACGTTTGAAACTCAATTTCTGTTAAACTGTCACTACTTTAACCACTCTCAGTGTTTTCTCTTTTACCTTTCAACTGTAAATCCTCCCAATTTCAATGATGAGTTTACTGAGACCTAGTTCTTCATTTCTGTTTGATATTAAGTCAAACATTATTGTATGTCTAGGATTCAAACCACCTTCATCCCAATACCCTTTATACTCAGTCTGCTTCAGGGTATTATTTGCATAAATGTGAAGCAACAGCTGGAAATAATTCACTGTCCCAAGTTTCTGAAGCTGGTGAGGTTGTCTTGCTCTGCCACCATATATTGTGGCTTCCTGAGAATCTACCTTCTGCAGTTTATCACTCTACCTTCCCACTACCTCAGTGGTTTTACACCCTTACCCCAGTTGTTCTAAATAGAGCCCCAGCCAGCCTTTTCCTCAGTTTGCTGCTGGTAGCAATGTTGATCTCACTCTGTGCCAAACACATGACTGCCCTAATAGTGCATTAACTCTGCCCCTCATTTATAAAGGATTAAATTGGAAAATATTTTTGATGTTTCTTAAACCTATGTGTGTTAGAATTCTGTGACTATGACAGAATACCTGAGATAAACAACTTATAAGGAAGAAAATTTTATTTTGGCCCAGGGTTTCAGAGGTTTCAGTCCATGGTCAGCTGGCTTTGTTTTTAGGACTGGGGCAAGGCAGTGCATTATGGTGGGGAGCACATACTGGGGCAAAGCCCTCACTATGTGGTGGCATGGAAATGAAAAGAAAGAGTCTGATGTCCCATAGACTTCTAGAGCACATAAAGACTTCACCACTTCACAGTAGTACCACAGGCTGATGATCAATTTTCTTTTTTTTTTTTTTAATTGGTTGTTCAAAACATTACAAAGATTGCAGAATCACATCGGTTACACATCCACATTTTTACATAATGCCATATTAGTAACTGTTGTATTCTGCTACCTTTCCTATCCTCTACTATCCC